GGCCCGGCACTGCGCCCCCCGGCAGCGGGGCGCCCCCGGAGAGCTGCCGCTCCAGACGGGCTATGACTTGGCCCTTCCTGGCGCTGTCCTCTGCCAGCGACAGCTTCTCCCTCTGGGCTCTCTCCAAGGCCGCGCCCAGGGAGAGGGCCTGGCGCTCCAGGCCGGCGTGCTGCGCGCTCAACCGCTCCAGCTCCTTCTCCACGGAGAGAAACCGCTCCCTCCAGCCGGCATTCGCGGGCGCGGCGCCCGCCCCCGCGGGCGGCCGCTGCTCTGCGTCGGCAGGGGGGTCCGACTGCTCACTGAAGGCTGATTTTTCTTCCTCAAGTCGCCCCACTACCCCCTCCAGTTGCAGGCACGCCGCGGTCTGGGCGGCGACCTGGGCTTCCTGGAGCTCGAGTTTGGAGCCCAACTCTTCCACCTCGCCGAGCAAGCCTTCCACTCTCCGGTCGCGTTCCTCGACGGCCTGCCGCAGTCTCGCGTTCTCACGCGACATCTCCTGGACCCGCGCTCGGAGCTTCTCGCCGGTCACTGGACTCCCCGGGAAGTCCAGGAGATCCGGGGCGCCGGGGCCGGCGGGGGACGGCTCAGGGCTGCCCGCTGGGGGGCGGCCTCCGAGGCTGTCGCGCTGCCGCCGGGGGGTCTGGGGCTGGGCTCCTCCCTGCGACTGGGGCAGGCCGGGCTGGTCGTCACAGGGCGCGTGGGGGCCTCGCCCGTGCGCGCCCTCCCCGCTTCCTGAGGTATTTCCTTCTGGTTCTTTTGAGTCACAGCTCTCGCTTCCCGGAGCAGGCTGTAACACAGAAATGAGAATTTACTTTTCAAGGATAAACAAGCGGAGTTACTCCTTTACCAAAACGGCAATGGGCCCCTGCTGATAAATACAGCCCCCGGCCCAAGAATGCAACACACCCCGCACCCGGTCAGGCCCGTCTGCGGGGAGGGAAGGGCTTGGGCGAGCTCTCTAGGCAGCCCCGGCTAAGCCACGGCCTATTAAGTCCCTACTTCTTTTTTGCCAGGCCCACGCTGGGCCTCTAGGTATGGAGCCCCGTTTGAAGCTAACGGCAGCATGTGCGGGCATTTCTGATATTCTCCCACAAATGCAGGTGGCGGGGTGCGTGACCAAAGTCACAGCCCGGCACCCGTGCGCCATACTGGTGGGTAAGTCAGACGCGAGCCCCACCTTCCCCTCACCGGGACGGGTGCCCTGCCTCTGACACCCCGCCCCAGGAGACTCCTGGCACAGCACACCCAGCTCACAGGCCACCGGTACCGGAAACCGAACCACGTCCCATCCCCGGAACAACTGTCTGTTTGTGGCCCCAAGTCACAGGCTCGTGCGAGCACGCTGCCAGGGAGTCCTCAGCAATGCAGTAAACGCCGGCTCTCGTCCTCACGACCGGCTGGCCTGGCGAGCAGCCCGGGAAGGGCAAGGCTGAAACCCGGTCACGTCGCCGCACGCGAGCTCTCGGCTACGGCCGCAGGGTGAGCTCACGCAGACGGGGGGCCGGCGTCCGCGACGCCCCGCTGTCTCCGGGGGCCGGGGCGCACGCCCAGCCCTCACGGGAGCCACAGGCTTTGATTCTGGAGGCCTGTGGCGGGAAGCGGCCGCGCCCCGGGTACTCACGTCCTCCAGGTCGGCGCCCAGCAGCGAGCGCGAGCTCAGGTCCAGGCCCTGCAGCTGCAGCCGCGCCACCTCGAGCTCCCGGGCCAGCTGCTCCGTCTGCTGCTTCTCGGCCGCCAGCCTGCACTCCATGTCCGCGGTCACGCGGGCCAGCCGCTGCTCCCACTGCTGCCTTTCCGACAGGTACTCCCGCCGGAGGCCGTCGAGCGCGTCCCTCCCGGAGCCCAGCAGCTGCCGCAGTGCCTGCATTTCCTCATTTCTCAGCAGGCCCTCACGCTCCATCTTCTCCTCCAGCTGCCGCAGGGACTGCAGGTACGTCTGGCACCTCGCCTCCAGCGCCTCCACACGCTCCCCGGGGGGAGGTGGGGGGCCCCCCGGGGCCAGAGCCTCCTCCCCCAGGCTGCTGCTCAGGGTGTCATCGGCCCTGGACTGGTCTGTCACATCGTCCCCCTCTGAATGGCTCAAAAGGGATGTCTCTGCCGTGAGTTCTCGAAGGCCTGCGGGGCAGGGGCTGTCCCACAGACAGCGCCCCTCCCTGGGCCCCGGTGTCACCTCCTTCGCCGCGTCGCCCTCGGCGTCCCTCGGGTCCACGTATGATGCTGAGGTGTTGGCCTGCAACGTGCCCACGTAGGCCTGCAGCGCGGCCATCCGGGAGCGCACCTGGCAGTGCTGATGGTGCAAAGCCCTGTGTTCGCGCTGCAGCGAGGTGACCCGCGCCTGCAGCTCGGCGAAGTGTGCCTGCACCTCCCTGCCCGACGACGCCAGGCGCTCGCTGAAGCTGCTGTCGCCCGGGGGTGCTGGGGACGCGGGCGTGTGCTCAGCCCCAAACGTGGCTGCTGGCACTTCTGTCGCTTCTGTCACGAGCTCGCTGTGGAGGAGGCTGCCTGCATGGTTCAGGGTCCTCACTTCGCCCACCAGCTTCTCGACCTCCGCTGCCATCTTGCTGGTTGCTTCGACACATTCCGACCTGGCCGCATCGAGCTCGGACAGCAGCTCCAGCTTCTCCGCCCGCAGGGAGCCGCACAGGGCCTCCAGCTCCGCCAGCTTGCTCAGGGCCGCCTGCAGAGGGCCGCCTGCCGGCCACTCGCCGTGCGGCGAGGCGCACTCTCCTTCCGCGTCCATGTCACAGTCCTGAGGGGCGTCCTGAGGGGCACTGGCTTCTGCAGGCCGAGGGTCCCGGGCCGAAGCCGGGTCCTTGGCGGCCGGAGACTCTGGCCGCAGGCGCTCCTTGTCCAGCTCGCGCCCCTGAAGCCTCAACTCCAGGTTTCCTGCCTGAGCTTCTGAGCGCCTCAGCTCACCGCGCCGGTCTGGAGAAGGGTCTGACGCGGCCAGAGCCGCCTGCAGGGGCGCGTGGCCGCACTCGGTCGCGCAGCCGGCGTGTTCCTCAGCGGGGCGCGGCTGCGGGTCGGGGCGCTCGCTCTGTGTCTGCGCTGACTCCCGCAGGTGGGGGCTCTCTTGGGATAAAGCCTGGACTTGCCTTTGCGCCGCCGTCTGCTCTTCCTCTAACGCCCTGATGGCCTGCTCCGGGGCCTCAGCCTCGCCCTGGGGCCGGCTCGGGGGCTCAGCCGCGCGGCGCTGCGCGGCCTCCAGCTCCCGCTCCAGGCGCTGGTTTCGCTCTTCCGCTAGAGCCAGTTCTGCCACACACGCCTGGTGTTCCCTTGCAAAGGCCTCCCGCAGCCGCTCCAACTCCCTCTCCCTGTTTTCACAGACACCGGTGCACCGGCTGAGCAAGCATTCCAGCTGCGAGCTCTGTTCTTGGCCTGCCTCGTACTTTGCGCTGAGCTCCTCAAGGGCGCTTCGGGCTTCCGCGCACCTCTGCAGGAGAGCCAGCCTTTCCTGCTGGTGCTGGCTGGATAGCTCTGACAAGCTCCTCTCCTTCTCCTCCACGAGCAGTGAGAGCCTCTCGCTTTTCTGGAGTAAGTCCCTCTTCTCCTGACCCAAGCTTGCATTCACTTCCTTCAGCCTCCCATTCTCCTGGGCCAGTTCGTGGATTTCCTCTGCCCGGAGAGAAATGACCGCGCTCATTTCCTTCTTCTCCGAGCTCAGGGTTTCTGACAGAAGTTGCAGCTCCTTGACAGCGGCTTCCAGCGAGCGGCTCCTCACTTCAGCCTCTCGCGTCTCGGCCTGTTGAGCCTCGAGCTGTTCGGTCAGCAGCTGCAGCTCCTTTTCTTTGTCCTTGAGGGCACCGACCGTCTCGGCAACGACCTGCTGATGGAGAGAATTGTCTTCCTGCAGCTTACTGATACGCTGACTGGTCGCAGCCACGAAGTCCTGATGCAGCTGCTCTGCCTGCCTGAGATTTTCTTCTGTTTCTGCTCTCACTTGCACCAACTCTTCGCACTGCCTTTGCAGATCTGAGTTCCGCTGCTTCTGGGACTCGAGGGAACATTCCAGTGCGGCGACTTTATCATGCAAGATGCCTGAGCCTGAGGGGCTCGGGGCGGCGTGGCTCCTCTCGGAAGGCAGGCCCTCCTGTTGCCCCGCGAGGCTTGCCAAGGGATCATGCCCGGCCGGCTGCTGCTCGAAAGCCGGAACACTTCCGCCGTGGGCCTGCTGGGCCGGGCCTGCCCCCAGCGGGGGGCCCCCGGAGCGGCCCGCGCCCCGGAGGCTCTCGCACTGGGCACTCAGGTCCTGGCAGCGCTGCTCTCGGTCCGCCAGCTCGCCGGACAGCACCTGAAGCTCGCGCTCAAGGTCGGCCACCTGCCCCTGGAGCCGCGCCACCTCTGAGCACACGCTGTCCATTTCCGCGCGCCGCTTCTGATCCAGCTCCAGCTCCAGCTCCAGGGCGGCGAGGCGCTCGCTGCACTCCAGGCTCCTCGCCTGCTGCGTCCTCAGACAGGTCTCCAGGTGGCTGACCTGGCCCTGCAGGCTTTCCCGTTCTGCCGCCACCTGATGCAGTCGCTGCTCGTTTTCCTGCTTCCAGAGAGAAAACTGGGTCTTCTCCTGGCTCAGCTCCTCGCACTCTTTGCTCTTGCACTCCAGCGCGCTCAGGACGGCCCGGGACTCCTGCTCAGTCCTGCTTAACTTCTCGTTCAGCTGCTCGATGTGGTGCTCCCTCTTCTTGAGGAGGTCCTGGGAGCAGTCCCGCTGCTGCTCCAGGTCAGCCACGGCCCGCCTCAGCTTCTCCAGCAGCAGGGGATTCTCCTGCTGACTTATCTTTTCTTGAAGGTCTCTTAACAGGCCCTCCTGAGACACCGCCTTTGCTGCAAATGTAAAAAGATCTCATTGTTATGCCTTAACTGATTGTTGTCTACATGTATTGTAAACTCTCAAAAGAAGAGCCCAAACTCAGTGCTTAGGCCCTGCGAGACCCAGCCGAACTGCGCGGTGCCACCCGGAAGGGAGGGCGCCGGCCGCACGCACATCCGCCTCAAGGCAGCGAGAAAACCGCACCTGCAGGGGCTTCGCTTCTTCGCAAGTGCTAGAAAACGCCTCGGCGTTCCTTTCCTTCTCTCTGCATATACTTACGTCTGTATTTTCCTCTATGCAAAGAGAGAAAAGTGCGCAGGAGCACTGACGTGGCGGAAGCCGACTGCCCGCCGAGCTGGTCAGACCCGCGGCCGCAGGACTCTGGGGCCAGCGAGGGGCAGGGCGGGGCAGCCCACGGGCGAGTCAGGGAGTGTGAGGCCATCTGGCCACCTCTCCCCCGCCGCAAGCCTGCGCAGGCTTCCGCCCAGTAACTCCCGGCGTGGCCGAGAATGCCCAGGGCCGGAAC